TTTCCTTGCAGCAACTTCCCCTCCTCGGCTGTGGTTGGGGAGCTTGCTGCACGCAGGGGAAGTGGCGGCTGGGCTGGCTGCCTTTGAGCCTGTGCTGCGCTTCACGGAGCTGTGTCAGAGGAGGAGGAGGAAGAGGAAAGAGTGCTCTCAACCACAGGCTGCCTGACCCCCTGCTGTTGTCCCAGGGAGTGGGAAAGGGGTCTGTGTGCCGCTGTCTCCTCACCCTCAGTGGCACAGATCTCTGGGAGCATCTCCTGCTCCACCCAGCAGCGCCTGCCAGCCACAGTTGAAGCCTTCCTTGAGCTGCTGTTCACTCTGAAGCCTAATGACTGCATTCCCAACACAAGCCACCAGTGTCCCTGTCAGAGCAGCCTCAAATGTCACCATTGGATGGAGTCACCTGTGCTCCCTGAGCTCATGGGTGCTCATAGGCCTGGCTGCACTGCGTCATGGAGGCCACAACTGGCTCTTGGGGATGTGCTGGGTGAGCAGAGCAGTGGCTGCAGCCCTCCTGCTGGCCAGGAGGGCTGTTGTGAAGGCACGAGGAGGAACTGCAGCACCTCTGAGCCCAGAGGAGAGAGCTGGGACAGACTGGGACACACTGAGACGGGCTGGGATCCCCAGCTCTGCCCAGCAGGCTCAGCACCGCCTGCGCTCTGCTCTCTGCCCACGTTTGAGGCAGGGGACAGGACCCCGGGGGGCCGTGCCCCCATCCTTCAAGCAGCCCAGACGGCACCAAGGGACGCGCAGTGGCTGTGCCCAGGGCTGCTGCTCGCACCTGCTGCGTTGGGCTGCCTGCAGCGCCCGACCCTGGGTGCAGTGCCGCACTGGGAGCGCGGCCGTTGGGAGTGAGTCAACCAGAAACTGCCGGGTGAAACGGGCCGCGAGAGGAAGGCGAAAGAGAGCGCAAAGGGAAACCTCAAAAAGCCGAAGTGACGCGACAGGGCGGGCGCAGGGCTGCGGGGAGAACGCGGCGCCTTGCTTTGCCATATATAGACAAATCGCGGCCCGTCTGCGCCAATGACGGATGTGGGGCCGTTGCACGGCGCCGTGGGGCACGGAGCGCTCCGACATTTTCCATGCCACCTGCTGGAACCGGCTCGCAGGTGGGGGAAGGGGCGGTGGGCCAGGCCCTGTGCAACCTGCAGCCCTGCTGCTGTGCGGGCAATGCTGGTCCCCCCCTTCCCATCTCCATCCCGGGCACCCTGGGGACAGCGGCCGTGTCCCAGGGCCCCAGCAGGAGTCAGGCATCTTATCATGCAGCGTGGGGATGGAGGCCTCAGAGCCCTCAGCCCAGCTGGGATCGTTTTCGTGTTCTGGGCAGACATTTAGAGCAGTGCGGGTGGCTGAGATGGAGAACATCTGGGGCTGGGTGGATAAAGGGCACATAGGGACCTTTGTCTGGCTGGTGGGCTCTGTCCAGCTCCAGGACCACGCTTGGGCTGCAACCAGACACACAGAACAGCATGACTCAGAGCACACGTGGCTGCACATCCTGGTGAGCAGCAGGACCAGCTGCAGGGCCAGGACACAGGGAGCCCAGGAATGCTGGGGATGGGACAGACACCGTCAGGCTGCCACATCCCCCGTGACTCCAGCTCTGCAGCTCCACTTGGCTGAGTACCCTCAGGAAGCACAGTGGGGAGGTGGGAGGTCTCCTGCCCAGGGGAGGTTTGGGACCCTCTGCCAGCTCCTGCTGTTCCCCAGCCACCCCAGTTCTGCTGGCACTACAGGTTCTGGCAACAAGAAGCAGCCGATGGCCGCCTTGCAGACAGCACCACGCATGCAAGCAGTGACAGCACCAAGGTGGCAGCCCCTTCTTCATGAGCTCTTTGCAGGTCTTCCCCAACAACTGACGACCCTCCAGGCAGCTCCTTCTCCACAAGGTCTCCTCCTTCCCTCCACACTTGGTGAGGAGCAAATGCCAGGGTCGCTAACACAGATCAGAGCTCCTGCAGATCAGATCAGAGCTCCCGCATTGCACCTCACCCCCGCCTCCATCACTGGCACACAGGAGGCTCTGTGGCCTGCACACGTGGAAGCTGTGCTTCAGCTCTGCCACAATTCAAAATCTTTCACATCTGCCCACACCTCCGAAACTGTGCATCCAGCCCTCCTGCCACCGTTACTGTAATCCTCTTCCTCCCCTGCAGCCCCTCCTGGTGAGAACCCCCATCCCCACCACATCAGAGGCACCTGTTGTCTCGCTGCCTCTAAGCTGCCTGCTCGGGCTGGGTGACAGTGAGATGGGGCTGCACCCCCTGACCTCAGCCTGCTGTTAGCAGCTCGCACCCTGGCTGTGCCATCCTCATATCAGCAAGCATTGCACTGGTGTACCTTAGTTCATCCTCTTTGGTTCCACCACCGCACTTCAATTTAGGGCTTATTTTGTTTGTTTTTAGCACCTACCATCAAGGGTCCTGGGCACCCAGTCATTAACCTGCATGCAGTCAGACCATAGCATCTCATGGATGCCTGAGTTTGTGAAACAACATCCAGAGGCACCAGGTGATGGGAGGTTGGTGCAACATGGGACTGACCCTGCCCAGAGGGCCCCGCACAGCATCTCTGCTGCCTGGCCTTGACATGAGCACAGAGTGACAACCAGAGAGGCTGCAGGAGCAAAACCAGGGGGCAGAGGTGGGCACTCCCACTGTGCATCGCTCACAGCCCCACAGCCCCACTCACATGCAGGTGCTCACCAGGGCCCAGCTCATCCCAGACACACGGCCCTGACAAAGGAGCCACGTTTGCCGGGGGTCCCTGTGCCTCATGTGAAGCCCTGCACAGGGAGTGAGCAGAGGGGCCCCTTGGGGACAGCGAGGCCGGGCATTTCCCAGCTCAGCCGGCAGCTGCCTCACGTAGACACACCGAGTGCTCTGCGGTTTTGGAAAGTTGCTTTTCTCGCCCGGAGGGACAGCCGGGTATCGGTTCTCAAAACCCGCACGAAGAAATTCGCTCGCTCGTGCTTCCTGCCCCGCTGCTGCCGGCCCTGCCGCCCTCCTGCAGCTCCCACGCGGTGCCCGGGCAGAGCGATGCAGCCCCGCAGCCTGAGATATTTTGGCGTCATTTGCTGCAGGGGGAGGAGCTGTCTTGAACTGACTCAGATCCACATTCCCTGCCCTCTGGAAGCTTACAGCCCAGGCTGTTGCTGCACATTTTTCCTCCGATTTCTTCAACGTGAGAGCTCCCTGTCCTACTTTTCTCAGCAAATAAAGCTTTGCATTCATTCGCTTTTCCTGCTACAAAGCCGCAGCGGCTTCGGGGATGGAGTCTCACTGAAATGCTCATTTTGGGGAGCTTTACGGAGTCCAACGCTCAGCTCGAGCAGCCTGGGAGCAATGAGTCACCCGGCGGCGTGGGCTGGGAGATGCGGTGCGCGCGGTGGGGGCGATGTGCAGAGGCACAGAGTCAGCCCAATTCGAGGCACCACGTTCCTGGAAGCGCTGCGGTCTGCTGCAGGCGGAGGAGGTGCAGATCTCTCTTGAAAGACCACTGGTGCCCGGCAGCCTGCTGCACTGTGCTGGCTCTATTCCACCTGCGCCGCAGCTCCCGCCAGCCTGTAGTCTGCATCATCCAGGGGGGCTGCACCCTGCGAGACATGAGGTGCCCATGGGGTTTACACCCCCCAGCCATCTTACCTGGAAGGCATGGTGACAGCGCATGCTGCTCTATGGGCACAACTTTCTTAGCGAAGCTCCCAGTCCCAGGTGGTGAGTGAGTTACTGGAGCCTCCTCCAAACCCACAGACCCACACCAGGAATCTGGCTGAGCACCTTGCACTGCCTGGGGCCCTGCACAGGGCCCTTCTGTCAGCCCTACACCAGGGGACATGACAGCTAATGTGCTGTGGAGGAGCCCCCCCACCTCTGAAGACTGGGAAGGTGAGGACTGTACTGCAGGCTGTACTGCAGCCAAGGAGCTGAGAAGGGAGATCATAGAATGGTAGAATCACAGAATCACAGAATGGCCTGGGTTGAAAAGGACCACGATGACCATCTCGTTTCAACCCCCTGCTGTGTGCAGGTCGCCAACCACCAGACCAGGCTGCCCAGAGCCACGTCCAGCCTGGCCTTGAATGCCTCCAGGATGGGGCATCCACAGCCTCCTTGGGCAAATGGAATATGGAGATGTGCTCCATGTCTCTCCGGCTCAGGGCCACTCCAGCAGTTTGTTCCCCGTCCCCAGGCCCCAGCGCTGCTCCACAAAGCCCTGCTGCCACCCCGTGGCATTTGAGCAGTGAGGCTGCAGAGCTGGCCATGGCCTCAACGGTTGTCCTGGACTGCCTGCCTTGCACAACATCCTTCCAGCCTGGCCAGAGCCAGAACCTCACTTTCCAGATCCACTGCCTCCTGTTGGAAAAAGCCACTCAGCTCATCCTCCTGGACTCACTTTGATCTGAACCTCCTCAGCTCTCACCAACCTCACAGAATCATAGAATGAATCATAGAGTGGCCTGGGTTGAAAAGGACCATAATGATCATCTCGTTTCAACCCCCCTGCCATGGGCAGGATCACCAACCAGACCAGGCTGCCCAGGGATGTATCCAGCCTGGGATGGATCACCTGGCAGTGCTGGAGGCAGTTTTCCCTTTAGCTGCACTCTGTGGGATCTCCAGCTTGCCCCCTGCCTCTCCCTGCACAGCCTGCCCAGAAATACCCCCATGGCCCAACATCTCCAGGCCGTGACATATGGCAGTCATGCCTGGCCCTGGTGCTACACCCACGCATAGCCCTGTAGTCATCCTACACATTTCCTCCAGCCAAGAGACATAAAGCACAAATCCCAAGTCTTGTAATGGACACCAACACTCAGCAAGGATAGGATCCACTTCCTGAGTTGGGATTTTTTGCCATATGGACAAGCTGTGGTGGCTGAAACCTCCAAACTACACCAGCAGTGTGACAGGTCTGGGGCTGAGTGCAAAACCCCTCCCATGCCTTCTGCTCCCCGTGGTGGGTGAAACAAGTGGTTGAACACACAGTGATTGACTCCACTCTGACCAGAAAGCAAGTTTTATTGAAATATTTACAGTTGTATCCCAGATCAGTTGTATCCACGCCGACTATAAAAGGTTTATGCATCTCCCTTCAACACCTCTTTCCCAGCCCTACTCACATTCCCCTCCCTGTCAAGGCTGCAGCTGATTTTAAGATCTTTGTGGTCCAACAGTGGCATGGCTGAGTCCAGAGGTACGGAGCGAGAGCAGCTGAGCCCGCAGCTCCCTCAGAGCCCAGGTCCCTCACGCTAAAACTAAAAGGTTTCAGAGCAGTGCCCCACATGCCAGCTGCCTCTCTGAGCAGCGCAGCAGAGCACCTGGGAATCCTCCAGGCAGCACCAGAGCTCCTTAGGTTTTGATAGCTGTGTCTCGTGACTTGTAAGCCACACCACGGCTCTTCAGCTCTCGGACGATCCCTGCAACAAGGACACAAACACGTTTCAGATTGCACTAGGAATGAGAAGCCCTAAAAAAATCTGGTTGCTCTATCATGTAGCTTTCACCGCAGAGCTTAAGAACTGGACAATCTTCTTAGTTCCTTCTAACAGTGTGTCAACTTCACTGTGAAAAGTGTTCCATCCTCTAGTGCCTACACAGAGCACCCAAATATCAACTCAACTTTTGCCCTGGAAAAAAAAAGAAAAGCTGGGCAGAGACTTTATTGTATCATTTTCTACCTGCAGATGTTTGAATATCATGACTGTACCGCATAGGCCAAGCTCTTGAAGGTTGTTCTTAAGCCTCCCAGCCACTTCTGTGATTTGTCTGCAAGTCCCACCTTCTAAATAGCACCACAGCAGTGACAGAGCATCACATGGCTCAGGACAGCTCTCACCAGTACCACACAGCCTGGACAGCCAAACGACAGCCTGCAAGGCCCTCGGCTGCAGCCGGCTGGTTTTCATGCTTCCCAGCACCTCCCTGCTTCTGCCCGTGATGTGAGGACATTCCCCACACTAAGCAAAGCCCAAGAGCATCTCCCATATGCATCCCCTCCTGCCCTGCGCTCACAGCTGCGCTCTGCCCTCAGCTGCACAGAGCACATGGCATCACTGCTACGCTCCACTTGCTTCAGATGTGCCCAAAGCTGTGCCAGGAGGCCTCGTGCCTCACGGTGCTTCAGCTTTCCCCTAACACAGATGGTGGAGCTCAGGTTAGCAATAAGGGAGCTGACATTCCAAACAGAAGTCCAGCTTTTACACCAAATGTGGGAGACTGCAGCCCTCTTGGGACACAGGTTAGGAGTCTGATCTTAGGCTGCAGACATGAGAAAATGTGATTTCTGCTTTATGAAGGTAGGGCCAACTCACTACAGCCTTCACTGCACCTATAAATGAACAAACACCACCTTAACTTGATGAGAGCCCTCAGTGCAATACTGCAGTGGAAAGGAATACCTGCTCACCACTCCTCCTCATTTTCCCAACTGCACCCCTTTCGGCACCATTCATTTTTGTTTCCTTGAAGATGCACAGCTTGAAGTGAGCACACTCTCTGTAGTCAGGCTTTAATCCCATTTCATTGCTCTGATGTATAACCTGGCATCACAGGTTTTATTCAGCCAAATTTTCATACCAACTTTTGGCGAGCAGAATGCTGGATGACCACAGACAGCCTGTCTGCAGAACAGGGAACCCTGCCTCCCATTCCACACCTTTTCGCAGTCACCTGGCCAATCCTTTCATGCTCAGGGCCTGTTGTAACACTGTTTAATGGACCCCCAAATGCTGATTTCATCAGTGTAGCACACTCACAGAGTGTAACTGGGCAACGTACAGCACCAAGCATACAAAATAACCCATCCCTCAGAGGCCACTGTACAGCAGCACTCCTCACTCAGCAGCGGCGTTACCTTGGGGCAGGCGGCCGGTCACAGACACTGCATACACACCAGGCTTGAAGTTACCTGACGGAAAGAAAGCAAGCAGCCGGGTGGGCAAACAGCACCAGCAGCCTCGCCCTGTGCAGGTGCCCCCTCCTCAGGAGTTGCAGCAGCCCAAAGAAGAAATCCTGCTGCCCAGCATCACAGAACTCCAGAGCCGTTTGGGGTTAGGAGGGACCTCACAGCCCCATCCCTGCATGGGCTGGGTGCCCCCCAGGGCCCATCCACGGCCTGGGGCACCTCCAGGCATGGGGCACCCACAGCTCTGGGCAGCAGCGCAGCACCTCACCGCCCTCTGGGTGAAGAATTTCCCCTCACATCAGACCTGAGTCTCCCCTCTTTCAGTTCAAAGCCGTTCCCCCTTGCCCTATCACTGTCGGAGAAGGCTGTGGGGCAGAACAGCGGATGGCACTCACTGATGCGCTGCCACTTGGAGACCCAGCTGTCCTCGGGGCTCATCATGGCGATGATCCTGCGGGAGAGAGAGACGTGAGGGGGCTGTCGCCGCCCGCTGCCACCGCGCAGCCCATCGCGGCCCCTCACCCGTCGAAGGAGGAGCTGGTGCAGTCGTAAACCATCTCGCGGTTGCCCTTCATCTGCAGGTAGGCATCGCAGTTGTCGCAGCCGTCGTACTCGAACTGCTCGAGGGTCTGAGTGGGGAACCACACAACCACGAGATCACTGAGATCCACTGGGACCACAGAACCACGAGGCCATTGCGACCCACTGAGATCCACTGAGACTGAGACTACGGAACCATGGGGCCACTGAGACCATTGAGACCCACAGAGACCACGGAACCATGAGACCATTGCGACCCACTGAGGCCTGCTGAGACCCACTGCGACCCACTGAGGCCACAGAACCATGGGATCACTGAGCGCCCCGCGATGCCGCGCGGTGGGGGCGGCGGCGGAGGAAGGCCCGAGCGGGGCGGGACGGGTCCCGGCGGGGCTGGGAGCGGAACAGGCCCGGACAGAGCGGTCCGTGCGGGGCGGGGGGAAGGCAGCGGGCCCGGCGGAGCGCACCTTAACGAGGGAGCAGAGCAGGCAGGCCCGGAGGTGCCGCAGGTCTTTGGGGACGGTCTCCAGCGCCATTGCTGCCGCCGCCGCGCACGCGCAGAGCGGAACCGGAGCGGGCAGAGCCCGGAGGGGGGCGGCAGAGAGCCGGGAGGGGCGGGGGAGCGGCGGGGGTGGGGGGGTCGGGGCTGGGCTGGGGATGCGGGCGCTCGGCCGCCGGTCTGAAACGGCTTCATCGTGACCGTAGAATCATAGAACGGCTTTGATTGGGTTGAACGGGCTGGGGGGGCTCCTCTCTTCTGCAGGCAGAACACCCCCAGCTCCTCGGCCCGGCTCCACAGCGGAGGTGCCCCAGCCCTCTGAGCACCTCGTGCCCTCCTCTGGACCCGCTCCAACAGCCCCACGTCTTTCTCGTGCTGGGGGCCCCGGGCCTGGACGCAGGACTCCAGGTGGGGCCTCACGAGGGCAGAGCAGAGGGGGACAGTCCCCTCCCTGCCCGCTGCCACCCCTCTGCCGATGCAGCCCAGGCTGCTGGCGGCTCTCCGGGCTGCACGCTGCTGGTGTCTTCCATCCACCAGGACCCTCACGTCCTTCTCCACCACGTCGTGCTCTCTGAGTTCTGCTCCCAGTCCATATACATATCTGGAATTGCCCCCACCCAAATGCAGCACTCTGCACTTGGCTTTGTTACGTGGCCCCACGTTTCGAGTTTGTGAAGGTCCCTGTGGATGGCATTCCTACCTTCTGTCAGCTGCACCACTCAGCTTGGTGTCATCTGCAAACTCGCTGAGGACGCACTTAATATCATCTGTGTCACTGATAATGATGTCAGAACACGGATCCCACCATGGACCCCCATGGGACACCGCTTGTCCCTGCCTCCACCTGGTACAGACATTGACCACAGGCTGCGACCTTCCAACCAATTCCTTTTCCACCAAGCATCCCACCCCTTGAACCCATATATAGAGATAAGGATGTGGTGGGGGCCACGTCAAAGGCTTTGCAGGAGTCCAGGTACACACCATCAGCTGCCCTTCCCTTGATGCTGTCACATCACAGAAGGCCACCAGATGTGTGATGCATGCTGTGCCCTTGGTGAAGCCATGCTGGCTGTCTCAGATCAGCTGCCCGTCCCTCACATGCCTCACAGAACTTCAGCCACGAAGCCATGCAACTCCTTAAAACACACATCTTGGCTTTGTGCAGAACAAAAACACGCGGGTAGGCCGGGTACGTGGATAAATATATTAGTAAATAAATATATTTTTGAGCACATCAGCATATTCACACATCTTTGTTTTTTTATCAGACATAAATACACAGTTTTGCATATATATAAAACCTATTCTTCCATTTTTGGTTGATAATTTATTCCCAAGCCCAGGATAGACTCAGCAAAACAAAACAAAAAACAAACTTGTATTCACATTTAGAAGGATCTGAACTTTAAAAAAGGGAGGAGCAGAGGCTCTGTGCAGAATCGGAGGAGGTCCAGCCGGCCCAGGCACTCTGCCCACAGCCACCCGTAACGGTGGGGTTGAAGGTCCTGGGAAGAAAGTGGTCCCTGGGGAGGGACTGATGGTTTGGTTGTGGATAAAGCGAGGTTGGGACGTTCTGGCTCCCGTCAGTTTTCAGCTTTGGTCTTTGGACTCAGTAAAGGAAAACAAATGCTGTTTCATTGCAGTGGTGTTGTGGACTTGCAGTGACAGAGCCCAAGGGCACTGACCACCCGAAAGTATCACTCTGAAGCGAGAGGTGCAGGAACCGAGAGGAACCATCTTCCAAATTCTCAGACATCACTTCCCTTTCAGGTGGCTGGGGATTCTACTCCATCTACAGAAAAGGACTGCAAAAGCCATCTTCCTGCAGAGTTCCTCCCTCTCATCCCACCTGAGAACCCACCTACACAGACCTGCATACGTTCAGCTCGGCAAGCCCCACCGAGAGAGCCCAGCGTCAGAGATGTCTGTTTCCTGAATGAAAAGTAGCAGCAGCATAAAAATCAGGACATGAAAACACTTTGAGGCGGGCGCTGCCCTGCACAGCCCGGTAATACTGCAGTAGGAGTGGAAAGGTTTGTCAGTACTGACCACTTTCTCCAAGGAGCTTGGGGCTTGCTGAGATTCAGTCCTCCTTTTTTTCAGGATTTGGAGGGAAAGGAGTACTTTCAGACTGCAAACGAGGCACTCGTTCCTTTGAGGCAGTGAAATGCATCTCTGGAGGCTCTCAGCCTTCTTGACTCCTAAAGAAACCACTGGGAGCACCCTGACTTCATCACCCCCATCCGTGAAGTCATCTGAGCCCCCTGGGGGCTGGCTGGGACAAGACGTGTGCCGCACACACAGCAAGTTGAACAGGGGGAATCCAGACCTGTTCCTGGCTTTCTTTTTTCTCTTCAAGACTGGCTTTTCTGCAAGGGAGAAAACATCTGGACTTGTGTCTTCTGCTTGCCTTGCAGGACAAGAGGAGCCTGAAAAGGCTAGAATACAATTCTGCTGGGTTCTTTGATATGAAAAATTTAGCTCTTCCCTAGTATCAAAGGTCTTGCAGCAGCTCAATCACAGGACACAAGAAAAGGAACACTAGCAAGGGATTCATGTTTTGTTTAAAGCAGTCTTACTGGTTGGCTTTTAATAACATCATGTCAGTGATTTGAAGCTGGGACAAAGATGCCTCTTTCAAAGATTAAGGGTAGCATGCTCCATAAAAGCTTTCATCAGAAGAGAAGGAAGGCAGAGGCTGGATTAATCTGAACTGGGACCATCTAGCCTATGTGCTCTTGAACTGAGAAAGAAGCTGCAGCTTGACAGGAAGATACAGAGAGATTATCAGCGAGGAGATGGGGAACTTCTGTCCCTACACCAGGTTTCTGTCAGAAGTTACCTTCAGCTCTTATGACCTATCCTTCCCAATGTTTCATCAACTCTGAAAACCTGAGATAACCTTGGTGCCCTATAAGCGTGCTCTCCACGTGGGATTCTGGCTAATTCTTTGGCCTGAATGGTCAGTTAAGGCAGTGAACTCCACAGCCTGAATCCTTGCTGTATGAAAACTGTTTGGGTATCGTGGTGTGAATTTGCTGGATTTTATTTTACTTGAATGTCACCAAATTAGGAGACATAGGAAACAAGAGCTGGTGGTGTTCCAAGTGTCTCACAGAAGTACAAGAATAAGGCTGGGTGACAGATGGGGCTCTGCTCTGTATTTATTACACATGCTTATACTGGGATATATTTTTTTTTTCCCCTTGGGGCAACAAGAAAAGCAGAGAAGCAGGAGCCACGTGAAATCAAGGATTTGCCACAACTCCTGTGATGGGGCCATCTCAACTTTGAAACATGCTCAAAACATATAAGCTCTAAACAGAGCTGTCCACACCTGTTTTGAGAGTAGATGGAGGCGTTACAGGTGAAAGAGAGATGTATTTGCAATAGGAGATGAGAGGGTAGATTCTTTGCAGTGGAGAGAATCTGACCCAGCTTCTTCCCAGAAATTGTGACATTGTCCCTGGGTCTTCATCTCCACTGCTGCTGGCAAACACAGCACACGGCTGAGCTGGCTTCAGCTGAAGGACAGTGAAGCGGTCAGAAGTGGTGAGAGATGTTAGTTTCCAATGAGGTTGGAAGAAGCACCTTTCAGGATGGACCTGTGAGTGCTGGGATGGAGAATACCTTGTTCCTGTGTCTGAAATAAGAGTGGAAAAGTTAAATGAAGAAGTTCGGCTTTTGACCTAAGAGAGGAAATGAAGTTGGGAGCTACCAGGCCACAGAAAGTCCTTCCTGCAGCTTTTGGTCTCGAAGGCTTGTTTATTTCTGAAGTGTTTTTCAAAACCTTCTGCGGCACGAACACGGCACGAACGCCGCAACAGCAGCTTGCTCTCTGTCGGCGAGCTCTCCAGCTGAGGACTCCCAGGACTGGTCTCTGAGCCAGCCAGCCCACGCAGACAGATGCCTCTGGATGAAGACGGGCTGCCTGGGCCTTCACAGGAGGAGAGGACCTGGAGAACACAGCTCTGTGCTTCTGTGACCATCGCAACGAGGAAACGCTGAGGAGACCACCAGCATCACACGGCTCTGCGCGGGCTGAGCGCGGCTGGGCTGTGCAGCTCAGGACTGCTCAACACGTGCTGAGCTGTGAGCTCCACTCCGGCCGGTTTGCTGAACATCTTTGTCCACTCCAGCTCTCCCGTAAGCAAATGAGCCAGTGTCTTGTTAAACTGAGTGTTCACGGACATCCTGGACCTCCTCTTCAGATCCTGCAGTCAAAAAAAGAATAAAGGAAGCGTGAGTCAAATGCTCCAGAGCCGCTGCGACAGAACAGATTCTGCAGTGGAAGCCACAGTGTTTCTCCCAGTATTTTGGAGGGACTTTTCTGGCCATTTCCACAGTCAGGTTATTCCTCTATGTTAAGACAGAACAAAACAAAAAGATAAGACATCAAACTCCAATGTGAATGTTCAGAAAAAGCTGAGGATGTGGTGCATCCCAGGATTCATCTTGCTGCTAGGAGCTTTTTGGGCTTTTTGATGTGTGCTCTTTGAGGAAAATCTGTACAGCCATGTAAAAAATGATCGGCACCAGAAAACACTGCTGGCTCATATTCACAGATGCCATGGCACCACCCTCCAGGCACAAGGGACAGCAAGAAAAGAAACTCCAGACAACAGAAAGAGCCTGCAAGAGAGGAGTGAGTGCAAGAAGGGAATAGCACAGGTGTTTCAAGGCATTGACAAATCGTTTCTGAGTCTCAAAAACCACCAAACCCAGTGAGTGTTGGTTGGTCACTAACACCAATGCCCCGCATCCAGCCAGCAAGGATGGTGCTTCCTTCCTCCCCAGCCCCATCTGCCTGGTGAATTATTGACAGGCAGGTGCTGAGTAGGTTGCACTGAAACACTCAGTGTAAGGGCTGCCTAGAAACCGTGCATCCTTG